GGGGTCAGGAGGGGCTGACCTGCACACTTTGGCCAATCCCCAAGCAGGAGGCTTGGCATGGGGCCAGGGCAGCCTTTAAGTGTGACTGAGTCTGCTCAGCAACAAAAGAGTTCAGGTGGAAGATGTAGAGAGGGCTAAGATGCAGGAGCCTGGGAGGGAGCCCAGTAGGAAGGGGCCTACAGGCTGGGACTTGGACAGGAGGATCGCTCAGCCTTACCAGTCCCTGGACGGAGGGCTACTTGTGGGGCCAGAAAAGGAGCCAGCACAGCAGAAGCCCTGAAGGCAGCCACCTACCTAAACCAGCTCACAGGAAAGAGACTGAGTGAGTAATCCTACACCCCCTGGACCAGCTAAGGGGAAAAGAGCACTCTGGTGGGTAACTTGATTAGCTCCTTACCCAGGACTGTTCATCTTAAAGTGGCAGGCACTGGATCCCCTTTCCCTGGGATTCCAGACAGCTGGGTAAAGAAGAGGATTTATCTGGGGTCTGAGGTGGTACACCACTCCTTTAGGCTGGAGAGCTCTCCTAAAAAATTAAGTTCTTTCTTTAGACTTGTATATAGTTGCCAGGAAGTTGTCTTCAGTTTGCAGTTCCCTTGGGCATCCCATACACTCCTTACTCCATCCAAGCTCAATGCCCTAATTAAACTTAAAAACCCAGCTCAAGGACTATTTAATGTCTCTGGAGTGCAAGTCTGTGGAAGATGCATTTTGCCTGGCTATAGGACTATAGGGGGACCTAAATTTTCAGCGACCCTTAAGGGGGTAGTGCTACATGTGGAGTTTAACTGTGGTAAACTACTGAATATAAATGTGGAACCATTATATATAATGAGTGCAGGATTCGCATTATGCAGAGTGCAGGACTCTGGAGTATCGATTATGAGTGGAAAAAACAGTTTATACAGCTTTCTATGGATTTTGGTATTCCCAGATTGGGCTCTGTAGTTTTGGGATTGCAAAGTGTCTTTGGAGTGAAAAAATCCACAACCCAGTGTCCAGGTCTTGCAGGAGACCAGCAGGCTATGAGTAGTGATAGGTTGGATGTGTGAATCGAACGTAAGTTTGAACCGAACATCGACCGTTTGTGTGTTTGCCAAACACACGAACGGTAAGGGTGCTCAGCGGACTGTTCACTCGCTGAGCACCCCACAGTGCATTGTGATTGTCCAAAGCAATGCACTTGACCACAGGCCAGGTGCAATTCTTTGGCCAATCACAGCACAATGCACTGTGAGAGCAATGATTGGCCAAAGTCAAGGTGATTTTACATAGTTACATAGTTAGTCTGGCTGAAAAAAGAACATCCAGTTCAACCATTAAATAAAAAAAAAAAGAGAGAAAGTTATAATCCTATACCCACAGTTGATCCAAAGAAAGGCAAAAAAACCTCCAGCAAAGCATGATCCAATTTGCTCCTGCAGGGAAAACAATTCCTACCTGATCCCCCGAGAGGCAATCAGATATTCCCCGGATCAACTTTACCTATAAATGTTAGTATCCAAGGTGATTTTGGCCAATCATGGCTCACGGCTAAGTCCATACCCCACACTATATGAGGCTGCTTACACAGCAGCCTTGTGTAGGGTGTTGCTGGAGTTTATTGCAGTAGTTGGTGGTGTGTTAGGAGTGTAGTTTAGTGTAGGGCGGTGTTGTGAAGAGCAGTGCAGTGGTGTCAGTGAAATATCAGTGTGTTTTACATCACTTCTTTGTCACCGCTGTTCCTATTTTTTTTTTTTTTGTAGCATCAGGTTCTGTTGCTGCATCATTATTGTTCCCTCTTCTGTGGTTTTCCTTCTGCGTCACCAGTATTTTGGGTATTTTGTACTTGGATCAAGGGTCTGGTAGGAATTTAGGGGGACCCTACGCTTTTTATGGGGGGTGGGGTTCCCCTTAAAATTTCTACCAGGCCTAAATGTCCTGGTATGGCTTTTAGGGGGAACCCCATGCACTTTTCCCCCCATTTTTGGGAGGTGGGGTTCCAAATAGAAGTCCTACCAGGCCTAAAAGGCCTGGTATGGATTTTAGGGGGAACCCCACGCAGCTAAAAATAAAAGTCATGAAAATGTAATTTAAAAAAAAAAAATGTCAATCCTACTGCAGCAGGTTCTATACATTATACAGATGTGCAACTTTGCTGGTAGTTTAAGGAGACACCCCAAGGCATGATATGTAAAGGAATTTTTCTTTTTTGTTTTACTTTAAGCAATGAAAAATGACTGACCCTTTAAAAAAATGGTACTTTTTGAATTTTTTTTTTTCATGGATTCATGTCTCGCAGGGCAGTACCCAAGTCCCCACCCCATACCCCTTTTATGGCTGATAACTTGCATATAAGCCTTGGGCACTTTTGAATTTACGAGTCCCATAGACTTGCATTGAGTTCGAAGTTCACAGTCGAACTTTCATTAGGGGGTGGGGGTGTTCGGCCCATCACTAGCTGTGAGTGTAGATGCACACAGCCCTTATGATGAAGGCTTGGGCATAGCTCCATCCATGAGAGAGGTGTTTTCCCCTGTGAAGATAGGTGATAGATGTGCTGAGTGGTCTATTGATGCTGGCTGCTAAGGGATCTATTGTTGCTGGAGGGAATATATTTTTTCATGGGGGTCTATTGTTTCTGGGGAGTTCTATTGTTGCTGGTGGGGTATCTATTATTGCTAGGGGTTCTTATGTTTGAGGGGTCATTTCCTGCTGGGAGAGATCTACTGTTGATTGAGGGGTCTATTGCTGCTGGCTGCTGGAGGGTTTATTGATGCTGGCTGCTGGGAGAGATGATGTTGCTGCCAGGAGTTATTGGTGTTGGGGTGGATCTATTGTTGCTGGGGATCTATTGCTGCTGTGGGGGGTTTATTGTTGCTGGCTATATGGGATCTATTTCACTGCTTTTCTTGTGATTACATACAAATTATTTAGCACCATAAAAAGATACTTGGTTCTCTACTAGGTGTACTAGGTGGTGGAGGAAAGGGACAGTTCTCCGAGGTGGGTAGGGGGCAGAGGCAAGGTTGACTCAGAAGGGGGGAATTCCTGCACCTATTCTGTGTGGAAAAAAAGCCCTAGTTCTATGTCCATGGGACTGAGAGAGTTGAGTTGAACTTCGCGAATCTGGGAGACCAAGGGAGGGTCTGGGAGTCTGAGAAGGCTGGGACATCTAGGCGAGTCCATGGGATGGAGGGAATCTAAAGCTGGGTACACACATATTAAAATTTGGCTAGTTCAGCAGGAACAGGCTGCATTTTGATCCATGTACATCCCTCTCTGATCTACAGAAACCAGTGTAATGACTGGCTGCTGTTGAACAGTCATGCTGGAAAACCAGCATTTGATCAGTGCTTGTAGCCAATGGCTGCAGCACTGATCTGTGTATTTTGATGGGGGGGGCACTGTCAGAATACAATAGCACAGTGGGGGAGATCTCTGCATCCATATCACTTGTGTGGATGCAGGGATCTGTAATTTGTTTTTTAATTGAAACCACTGGTTGAAAAAAAATTTCAAAGTGTATACCCTGTATACTCTCAGAGGAGTGAGAGAGCCTGACTTGTCAGGCGAACCCCTACACAGGGAGCTGTGTCTTTAGGCTGAGTGGGCCAGCAGAGAGTTCAGAGAGCCAACAGAGCTGTTGAGAATGTCTGATAGAAGATTGACAAGAGCAGCAGTGCTGCTGAAAAGAGAGCCAGGTGGCTTGGGATTTTGCTGTGTGAAACTGAAACCCCTGCATGGGCAAACTTCATTGACTTTCCTTACACTGTGTTTAATAAAAGGTGGCTGGCAGGCCCTAAAACGAAGCTCGGACTGGCATGGTCTCACTTACAAATGCCTCTAGCACTGAGCTAAACATTTCCCGTATCACAATCTATATATATAGATATACTGTAAAATGTACAAAATGCAAACAAGATATTCAAATTTAAAAACAAATTGCAGTAATGGGTACTGTTTATTAAAGCCCTATGTTAAAAAAATTATACATATTATACTTTTTAAAGCAGGGGTCCCCAAACAAGGGGCCAGTTCACTATCCATAAAACTTGAAAAGAGCCATAATGTGGCCAGTGATAGTAGAAGATTCCCTGGCATCAGTGGGACTCAACAATGCCCAAGTTCAGTGGGAGTAACGAAAAACCCAGTGCCTGTGATCAGTGGGGTTTTGGGAAAATTTCCCTTTAATGATTTCAGTGGAAGAAGTCATGAGGTCGGAATTGTAACCCATAGTTGATGCCAGTGGAACACAAACATTGCTCCAGCAATGGTGTAAGTGGGAGAAACTGTGCCAAATTGTTTGTGTAAGAGGGAGGGATTAAGCCCGATTGTTTGTGTAAGAGGGAAGGGATTAAGCCCGATTGTTTGTGTAACAGGCAGAAATAGTGCCCCGTTTCTCATGTCAGTGGAAAGAATTGTGCCCCATCAGGGGCGGACTGACCATTTGGAAACTCGGGCACTGCCCGAGGGCCCGGGGTCAGTAGGGGGCCCCATGAGATGCCCCTGGTACCTTTTTCATAGACTTTTTTGAGTTTGGGCAAGGACACAGGGGCCCCATGATCCCCTATTGCCCGGGGGCCCCATGAGTTGTCAGTCCGCCCCTGTGCCCCATTAATGGTGTCAATGGAAGGAACTGTAGCTCATTGTCTGTGTCAAAGAGAGGAATAGTGCCCTATCATTGGTGCCAGTGGGAGTAATAGTTTCACATTAATGGTGTTAGTGGGTGGAATTGTGCCAAAAGGGCCATTTAAATGCCAGCAAAAAGCTGTAGTTTGGTATTTAAATTAAAATTTAAATACCAAACTACAATTTAAAGTTTTCAATTTAAAATTAAAATTTTAAATTGAAAACTTTAAATCACCGTTCTTTTAGTTTTTACAAAGATTTTAAAATGTAGTTTTTACAATGACATTTGCTTAATATCAGCACAACTGACAATTGTTCTAGAGATGGCATGATAACACAAATGAAACAACTTTCATTAAATCCAGTGGTAGTTAGATGACAAAACTTACATTTGGAGTAAACAGATATTTGATACCACTCACAGAACCTTTTAAGGTCAGAGCTCTGATCAGGAAAATGGTGAGAACCAAATATGGAAGGGTTGAAGTCACATATACTGCCTAAAAAGTAAAATATATTTTATTAATCAAATGTTATATTGTTGATTTACTGATCTATATTGACCATAAGTGTGTGTTTGTATAATCATTCAGTGGGGTTTATTTACTAAAACTCATTCACTCAGAATCTCGTGCACTTCTGCAAAGAAACCAATCAGCTTACAGGTTATATTACTAAAGCTTAATTGAAAAAAATGAGGTTAGAAGCTTATTGGCTACCATGCACTGGTGCACAAAATTCTGAGTGAACCAACTTTAGTAAATAAACCCCAATGTGTGTGCACAATCATTCAAGCAGCTAATCATTTTGGCCACATTATTATGTCCATTTTACCTATGTGTGGTCACTTTGTAGTTCTGGTTACCTAGTGACTTTAAAAAGTTATTTTTATATAAATTGCACCACGGCACATTCTTGGTTGTGCAAAATAAAAGTGACAAAAAAATGTGTGTGGTGATAATTAATGTCTTAAATCAGTTTCCCACGTTAAAAAAGCAAAATAATGTGGAAGAATTATTTGACAAAATATTTTTTAAACAAAAAATTATTCATAAAATTCTGCTGCCACCCCATTGATACATTGACCAACAAAATATGAAATTATAGAAAAGGGTGGCGCTGCGCTGACTGTGATACAGTATATTGCTATTTGTCTTACTGTCATATCTTACTCTCTGTCTAAGCTCAATAAATTCTGTTATTGTGTGTGCCAAACACCACTGAATAAATATGGGAATGAAAATAAAACCAGTATACAGAACACAATCCTACCAAAAATATGTGATCAATACATTATCACGAGCAAAACCAATATATTCAGCTAATTTCCAAGTGTTTAAAGAGATACTAAAGGTTCATTTTTTTATTTTTTTAAATAACAGACATGTTATGCTTACCTGCTCTCTGAGTGGTTTTGCACAGAGCACACTTGATCCTCCTCTTCTCAGGTCCCCTGCCGGCACTCCTGGCTCATCATTCCTGTTGGGTGCCCCCATAGCAAGCAGCATGCCATGGGAGCACCCAAACAGGTGCACTCCTGAGTCGCGGCTCCATTCACTCACGCAGCTGAGGTTCGGCTTGGCCCCACCCCCTCTGTCTCTTCATTGGCTCACTTGCTGTGAATGACAGCCAATGAGGAGACAGATACCCGGGACAGACAAGGTTCTAGTGCACATCGCTGGACTGCGATAGGGCTCAGGTAAGTATTAGGGGGGCTGGGGGGGGCTGCAGAACATAGAATGTTTTTTACCTTCATGCATAGAAGAAAACCTTGAGACTTTACAAGCACTTTAAACAGTCCCATGTGTAAGAAACTGTTGCTTCTTTCTTATTTCTTATTTATTTTTCTATCTTCCACAAACACAAATGTGAATCCACCACCGAAAATGCTAAATACATTTACTAAAGGTAAATGCTGGTGTGTAAACAGCCAGGTAAACAGCCAGATTGCAGTGCATTCCCCTCTGGGAGTAACAGTCTGCACACCCAGTAAATCCTCAGTATGCTCTTGATCACCAGTGTGCAGTATCACGATCATCAACAATGAGGGAGGAGGAGAGAAAGCGATTGCACAGCATAGAATCCTTAAAATATAATTTTTATTATAAAATTGTTGTTACGCTCACATTTCTGCTTGTCTCCACCGACACAAGTAATATAGCATAGAAAGAAAACTAGGGCTCATTCTGTCCTAAGACTCTGGCCGTGAACAGACAACCCGGCATGCATGGTGATGTCACGTCCAAGCCCCGCTCTATGCGTTTCATCATCCGACATCCTCCGGGGGCAGAAGAATGTATGCCACCAATCATGTTGTATTTATAAATATTAACAAAATGTAACTAAATAGCTTAAAATAAACAATTCCTAATTTATTCTAATGCTACTTGTATACGGAGCTAACACATTCCTATATATATATATATATATATATATATATATATATATATATATATATATATATATATATAAATGTTCTCTCACTCAGTAGAGGCAAAATCTACTGAAACATGATACCAACAATAAAAAGTGTATAATTAAAAACCCATAAAAGAGGCACTCAACCTTATAATATCAAATATTTTTTTTTTAATATTTTTAAATTGGTATGTGTCAAAGGCCTTTGTCAATTTAATAGTGGACCATATAGATTAATATTACCACATTTTAAAATTATATATATATATATATATAGATATATATATAGTTGCAAGAAAAAGTATGTGAACCCCTTGGGATTACCTGGAGTTTTGCATGAATTGGGCATAAAATGTGCTCTGAACGTCATCTAAGTCACAACAATAGAAGAACACACTCTGCTGAACATAATACTACACAAAAATTAGGTGTTGCCATGGTTTAATTGCACATAACATGTAAACATTCACAGTGCAGGGAGGAAAAAGTATGTGAACCTTTGGACTTAATAACTGGTTGACCCTCCTTTGGCAGCAATAACCTCAACCAAACGTTTCCTGTAGTTGCAGATCAGACCTGCACAACGATCTGGAGTCATTTTTGACCACTCCTCTTCACAAAACTGTTTCAGTGTAGCAATATTCTTGGGATGTCTGGTGTGAATCGTTCTCTTAAGGTCATGCCACAGCATTTCAATCGGGTTGAGGTCAGGACTCTGATTGGGCCACTCCACAAGGCGTATTCTGTGCTGTTGCAGCCATTGTTTTGTTAAATTACTTGCATGCTTTGGGTCATTGTCGTGTTGCATCACCCATCCTCTGCGGAGCTTCAGTTGGCGGACAGATGGTCATATGTTTTCCTGCAAAACGCCTTGATAAACTCTGGAATTCATTTTCCCATCAATGACAACAATCCGTCCAGGCCCTGAGGCAGCAAAGCAGCCCCAAACCATGATGCTTTCTCCGCCATGTTTTACAGTGGGGATGAGGTTTTGATGTTGGTGTGCTGTGCTTTTTTTTCTCCACACATAGTGTTGTGTGTTCTTCCCAAACAACTCAATCTTGGTTTCATCTGTCCACAGTATATTTTGCCAGTAGTGCTGTGGAACATCCAGGTGCTCTTTTGCAAACTTCAAACGTGCTGCAATATTCTTTTTGGACAGCAATGGCTTCCTCCGTGGTGTCCTCCCTTGTACTCCATTCTTGTTTAATGTTTTCCTTATTGTAGATGTGTCAACAAAAATGTTAGCATGTGCCAGAGATTTCTGTAGGTCTTTAGCTGACACTCTGGGATTCTTCTTTACCTCATGCAGCATTCTGCGCTGTGCTCTTGCAGTCATTTTTACAGGACAACCATGCCTAGGGAGAGTAGCAACAGTGCTAAACTTTCTCCATTTGTAGACAGTCTGTCTTACCGTGGACACATGAACATCAAGGCTTTTGGAGATACTTTTGTAACCCTTTCCAGCTTCATGCAAGTCAACAATTCTTGATGGTAGGTCTTCTGAGAGCTCTTTTCTGCGAGGCATGGTTCACATCAGACAGTGCTTCTTGAAACCAGTAAACACAAAACAGGTGTGTGTTTTTTAAGGGCAGGACAGCTGTCAGCAACACATCTAATATCATCACACTGTTTGGAGTCAAGGTTCACTCCTGGTTCCAATTAGCTCTGGGAGAAGTCATTAAGCTAGGGCCTCACATATTTTTTCCTCCCTGCACTGTGAATGTGAAAAGTTATGTGCAATTAAACCATGGCAGCATCTAATGTTTGTGTAGTATTATGTTCAGCAGACTGTGTTCTTCTATTGTTGTGACTTAGATGACGTTCAGAGCACATTTTATGCCCAATTCATGCAAAATCCATGTAATCCCAAGGGGTTCACATACTTTTTCTTGCAACTGTATATATACATACATACCTTAATGGTCTCTAACTCAACTAAATTAATAACAAAATTTATTTATATAACAAAAAAGCACAATACCAACAGTAGAAAGTGTACAATTAAAAACCCAAAAAAGGGCACTCTATATTGCTCTTATTTTATCAAACTTTTCTTCCACAAAAATAGTTATCTACACTGATATATCTCAAAAGTCAACAAATAAATAGTGGGCCATTTAGATTGATGTTAACATATTAATAAATATAAAAGGCCACTGTACCTCAAGATAGTGTTCTTTATAAAAGAGAAAACTTCAGAAAGAAGCAACTATCATCATTTTTATTTATTACACATGGGACTGTTTTAAAAAATTGGAAATTAGCTTAATGTGCACTAATTTATTCACACATATTGGTTTTACTTGTGATAATGTATTGGTCACATATTTTTGTTAGGATTGTGTTTTGTATACTGGTTTTATTCTCTTTCTCATATTTATTCAGTGGTGTTTGGCACACACAATAACAAAACGTATTAAGATATCACAGTAAGAAAAATAGCAATATATCACAGTCAGTGCAACGCCACCCTTTTCTATAATTTAATTTCTAGTGACTGTGGTTTTATAAAATTGTATACATTAAAAACACATACATTTGCCATGGATCTAAGTGTTAGTGTACTGATTTTAGAATCCCATCAGTTTAATATTGTTTTATCACTCCAAAAGGACTCATAAGCTATATTAAAATGATTGTAATTTTTTTTAATTTAAATAATAAACATGGTATACTTACCTGCTTTGTGCAAGGGCATGCACAGAGTGATCCTGAACCTCCTCTTCTGGGGTTCTATGCTGACGCACTTGGATCTGTTCTCTTAGTGCCGCAATAGCAAGCTGTTTGCTATGGGGGAACTTGTGCAGGCTTGCTCCCAAGCTAGGCTGTGTGCAGCTATAGACCACAGAGTGGCTCAGTCCCGCTCCTTGCTCCCTCCCTACAGTATTTAGCTGAGAACAGTGGGAGCCAATGGCTCCCACTGTTCTCAGTAAAGCCCGAGAATGCAGAAATAGAGGAGAGCAAGGCTGCCTAGTGGACAGTGCTGGATCGAGAGGGATGTAAGGTAAGTGTTTGGGTGGGGGAGCACAGACACATGAAAGTTTTATAGTTTAATACAGAGAATTAATTAAGGTAAAAAAAAACCTTTTGCCTTTAGAACCACATTAAGTGTCAAATAAACATCATTGCTAACAATCTGAAGACACCAAAAATGTGCTATGCACCACTATTAGTTTATATATACCTTTCCAGTTGTCTCAATGCCCCTGATGGTACACACATACAGAACACCCCAAGCACAAGCCAAACTAATCACAAGCCACCATTGTAGAGTGCCTGAATCTTCAATTGATCTAGAAACATTCAGTGTTTCTCTGTACCAATAATAATCCACAGGAGAGCTTCGTGCACACTCAGGTTCAAGACCTAAAATTTGAAATAAAATGTTATCTGGCATATATTTTCACATTGCTTTTATACAATGCAATCTTTAATTCTTAAAACTTCAATAAACAAATTACAGGTAAATGATCCATTGGTTTCAACTTTTGATGTAGAGTAGTCGACTGATGGATTTCTGTTACTGGTTAGTTTTTTAAGGCCCAACTCTAGCTTTTTATAACCCGTGCTCTGCCTGATACTTCACTTGGTGACCTAATTGCAACTGATACTGGAGTCATTTGATGTTAGCAATAACAAACAAACAAACAAACAACAAAGCAGCATGCTCACTAATAATGTCCATCTGAGTGCATTTCTGCACTCTCCAAACACTGTCCAGTTGCATGATTCAGTGAGCAACAAACTTGCGAGTCGGGGGACATTGTATCATAGAAACTTCTTTATTGGCTCTTCATTGGAGGTAGTTATACCCTCCAACCTCCTAGGGATTCCTTGGGACCGTCCTGAGATTTCAACAAAATCCCACAGAACTTGTTCTGGCACTTGGCTCCACACCTACTGTACACTCATACTGTCTGGTGGAGTCTGGGGCGGACTGACAACTCATGGGGCCCCTGGGCAATAGGAGATCATGGGGCCTCGTGTCCTCAACCACATCCAAAAAAGCCTATGAAAGGTACTAGGAGCATCTCATGGGGCCCCCTACTGACCCTGGGCCCTCGGGCACTGCCCGAGAGCCCAAATGGTCAGTCCGCCCCTGGGTGGAGTGATCTCCAGCATAATAGTTTGAACACTCTTCCAGCAGTGATGCCACCTCACAGGCAATGGTGGTGGGCTCAACGAAAAAGTATGTGTGCTCTGCACTGCACAGTTTTGATAGATTTTCTACATACAAATGTAACGTATAGCAGAGATTTGTCATGCGTCAGAAATTTACATGATACGGTTTCTGATTATCTCAACCTACTTTGACGTTTTCATACTGGTCTACTTTCCACCTACTTGACTAATGATAATGATACTTTACAACACATACATACTGAAATAACATGGGTACGAATGAGAAGGACAGAGATAAAGGAAGTGCTGGTATTGTTACATGATGTCTGGCTGACCTTTTGCATTCAGGTCCTTAAAAGTCAATTACCAGATGTTTTTTACCAGTGCATGTGGAAATATCAGTGGGTCTCCATCTATGGCAGTTATCTCACTTTTGTTTAGAAACCTGTACACTGTGGTGTCTATTATTAAAGCTTAACAGTTGCTGGTTGCTATGTAGTCTCCCACTATATTAAAGGGGAACTTTACCCATAACAGCTTGATAAAAATGAATGTTATTTAACAACAGAACATACATTCCACATTATTAACAACTTGCCCTCCAAAGGATTTACCCCCCCCCCGCCCCCCTCTTCTGACCAGGCCATTTTTTGCGATACTGCGCTGCATTACTTTAACTGACAATTGCACGGACATGCAACTCTGCACCCAAATTAAATTTACATCATTTTTTCCCCCACAAATTTCTTTTTGTGTTATTTGATCAGCTGTGCATTTTTTATTTTTTGCGCTATAAACAAAAAAGACTGACAATTTTGAGAAAAAATAACTTATAGGGGGACTGCGGAAGCATTCTGACACTGAGGGGAACTGACTTGGTGTCAATGACATCCCCAGTGACACCAATACAGTGACTAGTGCTAATAAAAAGCATTGACACTGTACTAATGGCAGTGGGCAGGAAGGGGTTAACATCCGGGGCAATCAAGGGGTTGACTGTGTGCTGTTTCACTGTGTGCTGTGCGAGTGCTTTACACTGTAAGCACACTGCTTTGTATGGCTCTGTTATACAGAGCCATACAAAGCAGTGTGCAAGAGCTGACAGGGGAGAGGTCTGTGTTGTTTATACACAGGTCTTCCCCCATCAGAGATACTTGGCGATCACCGCATGCCGGCGAGGAGTCACCAGCCGGGACCCAGTGATTAACAGCCAGGCCGCGAATAGTGGCGCGGGTAGGGCGTGCGAGCCCCCTACCCGGAAATGCAAAATCACGTATATATACACGTGATTTTGCGCATCCATGCCACCCTGTAGCAGTATTCCTGCTATAGGGCAGCGCAGAAGTGGTTAATTTTGCTGCGAAAATTTGTGTCTGCTGTAAATTGCCTTCAGCTCTGTTCCTGTGTCTTCTTGCTAGATGCCACCATTTTGTAAAGTAGGCAGGCTTTATCTAGCCATGCCCAATATTCCAGTAATTTAACCACACCCACTTTGAGATGCTATGGGTACCTCAGGTTCTCATTTCCCTGAGGTGTCCCTCTTTCTTAAGTTCTAAATTTGGGAGCTATGCAATTCAACTTCAGCCTTCCAGTTAAGAGAAACTGTCATTCCTGGGTGGATGAAGCCCCTTTTAAAATGCAAATGATGAGAAATGTGCTAAAAAGTGTTGCTAGTTAACATGAAAAAAAAAACAGACATAAAAACCCATTTTACTACCTTGCACTGGAATTGTAGATACACATTAACAGACACTGCTGTATTGCAGCAAGGTATTTTTTACAAAACTCATGACTAAAATGCCAAATGAAATATCACCCTCTAATGTCCATATTCAAAAATGACATCCAGCATAAAAATGTTACTGGTGAAAAAAGTCCTTAATCTATTACTACCATTCTTAAATTATTAAGTACCAGATTTAAGAGAGACACACGATGCACTTCAAGAATATATATATATATAATGCAGAAAGTATAACTTGAACATATAATCACAGGAAATATAATTAAATAATGAAAGTGTTTTGGTCCTCCCCTAGGCACTGGTGGGAACCCCCAGGTGACTCTGTAGGCTAGAATTTGGGTGGAGAGGTCGCTTTAAGAAGTTTAACAGAGTTTATTATAAGACATAATACCTAAAATGACCACTAAAGGAACACTCTGAACCTATAGCCAATACAGAATAAGGAATCTTAAACCAAACTGGCAATCTGTGTCCTCCAGACTGTAAAGCATCTTTAATGTCGCACCTATTCTCCTTGGATAAGCCACTAGAACTCTCTGCAATGTCCACAGCTTGTACCCAGCTCTACAGCAAATGAAATTTCACCCCCAGTGCCCCAATCTAGGTAATCATCTACCTGCACCTCCACCCCTGGCTACAGCCTCCAGGAAGAAGCTGCAGGCCCCAGACTTGGACCTTTCTCTAAGCACAACACACCATCACCAGGCAGCAGGCCTGGAAGGCAGGGAAGTTCAGCAACACGCCCTCCCCAGTTAGCAGGCCTGGGAGGAAGAAAGCTTTTGCAACTTACCCATCTTGGGCAGCAAGCATGGGTGGAAGAGAGCATTCCAAGGTCACCTTATTTATATCCTTACCCAGCATGTACCACTGGAAATATACCTCCTAGTGGTTGTTTGACCAGGAACACATATATTCATAGTTACATAGTTAGTCTGGCTGAAAAAACACAAAGGTCCATCCAATTCAACAAAAAAAAAAAACAGTTATAATCCCATATCCACGATTGATCCAGAGGAAGGCAAAAAACCCAGCATTCATATTCATAACATAACTCAGATTATTGTATCTTCTAATACTATTGCCAGGGACACTTCCCAACAACATGCGGAAGGAAACAAAAGCAAAGACCTTAAGGTAAACTTGGGGAAAGCAGAACTATCAATCCATGCTCAGGCCAGCTACAGCCTAGCAGCTCTAAATGTAGAGTAGGGATAATATTGCCTATACTGTATATAGCCATAACATTTTTCTTTAGTTTTGAATAAATATGGGCAGGCGACACACAAGCAGTGAAACAGACAGCGAAAAAACTTGACAAAATCTCTAATCCCTCCCTGATCTAACCAAAGCTAAGAAAAGAAGACATTTTCGCAATACAACTTTAAGTTGAAAGTATGTATCCAAAAATAATGTTATGACAAGATCAATAAAACCAAGTTGTAATTGTATATATTGCACAGTGGCGTCCCGAGACAGGTGCAGGGGGTGCGGTCCGCAGCGGGTGACACCAACCGCACAGGGTGACACCGGACCCGCTCCATGAAAAGGTAAGTTGTAAAGCAAGCCGACGATCCCCGCAGGATGGATCCGATCCATCCTGTGGAGATTGTCCACTTTCTTTACAACTTACCTTTTCTTGGAGCTGTTCCGGTGTCACCCCGTATAGATTGCATGCCGACAATCCTGCGGGGATCGTTGGCATGCAACCTATACGGGGTGACACCGGAACCGCTCCAATAAAAGGTAAGTTGTAAAGAAAGCCAACGATCTCCGCAGGATGGATCGGATCTGCGGATTGATCATAATGGATCGGAGTCTGATACATTATGCTCAATCCGCAGATCTGATCCATTCTGCGGGGATCGTCGGAGGGGGTGTTACCAAATGTTACCGCACCAGGTGACACCAACCCTAGGGACGCTTCTGATATTGCAGATAAACATGAGAAGAGAGAGCGAGAAAGTGATAAAGGAAGTGAAACTAGGAAGAAAAGGGGAAGGGGTACCTTCAAAAGTGATCGTAAGCTCACAGTAGTGCGTAATCCATAATAGTACATATGCAGTATAAACTCAGTAAATTTCAATTTGAATTCATTGAAAGGTAGTTAATGATCCAAGCATAAACTTAGGTGACAAATAAGTCAGAAAAGCCAGGTAAGGTGATATTTATTTTTGCAGATAGGGTGTTCATGGGCACTGTATACCATTTGGTACATTCTTGACCAGAACCATTTTATTTTCTGGCGTTTTCAGCATAAGAATTTAAATATGCCGTCTGTGGAACAGTCTCAAAAACAGTTACTGAGTATCCACCTAGAATGTGAGGTATTCTCTTGGATGCTAGGTACCATCACATGAAATATTCATTATTAGAATTGACCAGGTTTGCATTGATAGAAATTGCTCTCAGCTTTCCTTCTCCAAACAGTTTCCCCCACTTTTCCTCCAATTACAGAGCATAACCTGGATAAGTGGATTTTAACATAGTTGATAAGGTTGAA